GAAAACAGGCGCTTTGTTTCTGGGGATTCTGCTCTGCCCGCGCCTGCCTTTGTCCTCCACAAACACAACAAAAGGGGAAGAGACAGAGAGGAAATGATGGAGCTCCAAATGGGCTGGTTCTGGCCCCAAATCGCCCATGAATGCTCGGAGCGAGCCGGGATGAAGCATCGGGAGAGGATTGATCGGCTCCCGGGGCCCCGCGTGGAAATGGGAGCGAGGAGGGAAATGAGAGAGAAAGGGGAAAAAGAAGGAAATAGGGAGAGATTCCTGCTCCTGGTAATGGGAAATGCTCCAGCACACGGCAGAGTGGGCAATCCACCTTTCTGCTCTGCACTGGGGGGAGAAATTCCAGAAAACTGGAAGGAGGAGAAATCAATCCCTGCTGCAGTCTGTGCTCTGAACGGGGGAATCTCCGGCGAATGTCTCCTGTTCCCTCTGCCAGCTCCTCCCGGCACTGTCACTGCTCCGAGGGACACGGGGACTGGGTGGTGACACTGGCACCGGTGTGGGGACACGCTGCTCCCTGCGCACGCCTGGAACACACGGCAGGAAGAATTCAGGAGGAATTTCTGCGTGGAAAAGGTGGCCAGGCATCGGCAGGGGAGGTTTGGAGTGCCCAGGGAAGGTTTGGACGTGGCACTGAGTGCTCTGGGTTGGGGACAAGGACAGGGTGAGGCACAGCTCGGACTGGGCGATCTCTGGGAGATCTCAGAGATCTTTTTTGGGGATTCTGTCGGGCACTGGGATGCCCAGCCCCATCTGCCACATCCCAGCCACTCGAAGCAGGGGGAGGGTCCTCACTGACCTGTCCACCAAACCCCACCCCGAGGGGATTCACAGCACCCCCAAACCACGAGATTAAACCCCCCCTGATCCCTTCACGGCGCTTCCCGAGCAGAATCCGAAGGATTTTTTTAATCTAAAAGCGGCAGTCGGAGGGTGAATTAAGGCCGTTAATTGAATTTCCTCCAGCAGCGGAGCCGGGCCGGGGGGAGGCGGCAGGAAACGCATTTGATGTCTTGGAAAAGCTGCGGATTCCGAACGTGGTGGGGTTTGGGGTTGGGATTTTTTTTTTATTTTTTAATTTTCTTTTTTTTAATTTAAAGTCGGTCGTAAAAAGAGCCCGACTTTGAGGAGCTAATGACTCTCATGAATTATTTTTGTTGATTTAGGCACCCACTCGGCTTTAAATATTATTAATAAAGGAAAAGTGATTCCATTCCCGGGGAWGGGTGGGAGTGAAGCTGCTCTGGGGGTGCAGGGGAGGGGGGGCAGGCACCCCCTGACCCACACCCAGCCCCTTCCTCTGCTCCCAAGCTGCGTTTTGGGACAAAAATGGGTAAATTGTGGATGGGTAAGGAATTGGTTGGAGCGTCACATCCASAGGGTCGTGGTCAATGGCTCAGAGCCACCGGCGGTGACCCTCAGTGTAATTTCAAAACTTCATTAACGATGTAAATGAAGGGATCAGAGAATCATGGAATGGTTTGGGGGGCGAAGGGACCTTAAATTCATCCCATCCCACCCCCTGCTGTGGGCAGGGACATCTCCCACTGTCCTGAGCTGCTCCAAATCCCGTCCAGCCTGGCCTTGGACCCTCCCAGGGACGTGGCAGGGAGGGTGGAACACGATGAGCCTTAAGGTCCTTCCCAACCGAACCATTCCATGATCCCGTGATGAAAACTCGSAGATTTTAGGGTGCCTGGACCGTGCCTCAATTCCTCTCAGCATCAGCATTCAGCGCTGGTGCCAAAACGGGCACTTTTCATGCCAGTTTAGTTTTATTGTTATGCCAAAAGCTTTAATTCGGGGCTGTCGTACTCCCGCGCYGCTGATTTACGCTGCCAGGGGTTTAATTACACCATTCAGCATTCCTTAAAACATGAAAAACCGCTCAAGTTTGGGAGCAATTAAAAGGCAGCGGAGTAGATCAGCCCATCAGAGAGGAGATAAGTAAATCAAACAATTAAAAAGCTCGTTTGGTGGCGAGGGAGAAGGGTCCCACCCCAAAATCATCTCCTGGGTGGGAGCTGCGGGTTCCAGCCCAGTAACTGGGGCTTGGGGTGATACTGGGAGAAACTGGGGAGATCGTGACCCCCATCCAGTATCCCTTAGGAGCATCCCAGCACCCCCAAAACCGGTCCAGCCCCTCTTAGGGCTTGGCAGGATGGGGATGGGGGACAGGGGASGCRCAGGACAGTGACAGAATGGGGTCCCTCCTCCCTGCCACCCATCCCCAGGATTCTGCCCAGGGTTTGGGGGTGGCTTGGATGGCTTTGAGGTTTTCAGCGGGATTGAGGCTCTCTCTTGTGGCAAAACGGGTCCATTACAGCTTTAGTCGGGCCACGGAGCCCCAGCATCTCCCTCGGTTCCTCGCGCTGAGATGGAATTGTAGATGGATCATCCTCCCGGGACATTCTGAAGCTCGGGAAACCGCAAGCAGCCCGGCTAGACAGCCCTATTCCCCATTTTCAGCCGTGCCCGGGTGGCTTTGGGAGGCTGGAGGTGCCCAAAATCCCCTCGGCACTTTCCCCGCCGGCACCGGGAGCGGAGCCCCGCTCCGTTCACGGCGAGTCGGGTCCCGGTCGCGATCCGCCGCTTTTTGTCCGCCGCCCGCGCCGTAGGATGTAAAGGCTCGGACGCGGAAGTGCCGCGCTCATTTCCGGTCTGTGCGCAGCGGCTGCGGGTGAGCGATGGCGGCCGGGGGGGCCGGGGGGCCCGGGGGGATCCGCCGCCATCCGCGGCCTCGCAGCRCCGGGCAGCCCCGGGGKAGAACGGAGRGGAGGAGGGGGCGAGGGGGAGCCCGATGGCGGGCGGGGGGATCCCGATGGGCCGGGGATTGAGYTGACACCATCTTGGTTTGTTTGTGCCGCAGGTTGGAGGTACCGAAACCGGGCTGGAACCATGGTGAGGGGCCGGGGGCTGCGAGGGGTCCGCGGGGTGAGGGAGGGGAGGGTGGGGCGTCCTTGTTTGGTCATGGACAGGGTGTAAAATGGGGAGGGGGCTCCTTTCCTGGAGGTGAGGGAGGGTTGGCTTTGGGGGTCYCTGGTTTGCCAAGTTCTGGGCATGGTGCAGAATGGGGGGATCAGCGAGCAGGGGGCTCACGGGGGTCCCGGGGCATTCCGTGGCCTCAGCATGAGCTGGAGGATGAGTTTTRGGCTGAGAACACATCCCTGGAACTGCTTCAGGCCTGGAAGGTGTCCCTGCCCATGGCACGGGATGGAGCTTTAAGGTCCCTTCCAACCCAAACCATTCCATGATTCCATGAATTTCTGTTTGATTTCCCAGCCTCGCAAAATTGAGGAGATCAAGGACTTCCTGCTGACAGCGCGGCGGAAGGATGCCAAGTGTGAGTGGGGGTCTCTGGGCAGGAGAGGGCAGGGGGCTCCAGCACCTTGTGGACATTGAGGAGTTCTTTACCTTGGGAATGCCGAAGGATTTGGGGTGACCCAGGTCACTCCTGTGGGCAGGGGGACACAGGGCTTCTCTCGGGGGTCCCTCAGGGAATGGTGCTCCCAATCCTGCACTCCCACTGCTGCTCACCTTGGGATGTTTGGCCAAGGCTCGAGGAAGCCATTCCCAAATCCCACCCTGCTCTGATGTTGGAGTTCTGTCATGACGGGTGATTCATCCCCAAGGAGAGATTTTTGTTGCCAGCATAAAAYGAGGATAATTGAGACAAAGCACTGCCTTGTCTCACTGTTCGAAAACACAGGAAGAGTTTTCCCTCTTGTTTGGATCTGGCTGTCACAGGATCTGTCGGGAATGTTTTGGTGTGGGCAAGAAGGGAGAGTTCAGCTCTCCCAGAGCTTTTTCCKCCCATTCCTCACACCGGGTGGAGCTGGAGGGTCCTGCACAGGGAAGGGAGTGGGTTGGGTGTTCCAGGGATGACACTGGGATGTCCCTGCTGTCCCCTCCRTGCCACAGCTGTCAAGATCAAGAAGAACAAGGACAATGTGAAGTTCAAGGTGCGCTGCAGCCGGTACCTCTACACCCTGGTCATCACCGACAAGGAGAAGGCAGAGAAGCTGAAGCAGTCCCTGCCCCCAGGTATCCTGGAAATCTTGTGTTGGGTGGGATTGAGGGGGCCTGTGAGGACCCCTTCCCTGTGGAAGGGTCACTGCAGAGCTGCCACTGTCCCTGGAACTGATGTCACCACCAGTGCCTTGCCTGGGTCTGTGCTTGGTATTCCCAGGGAGTCTCCAGGCATCCCTTCCATGCCTGAGCTCCCCCAATCCATGTCCTCTCTCCTCCCCAGGTCTGGCCGTGAAGGAGCTGAAATGAGCCGGGATGAGCTGGGTACCTGTTGGATTCTCCATGTTTGTTAAAATAAATAAAAAACTGTTCATGGTGTCACGTTTGGTGTTTCACAACTTGCTCTTTGGGGCCCTGGAGCTGGCTCTGAGCCACTGTGGGGGTCCTGGGGCTAGTGTGGGTCAGAGCTCCCAGCAGAGGGGTCCAGGGGCTGGTTCTGGAACGGTGTGGGCGTGGGGGCAGCACCTTTGCTCGTGGGTGGCCTTGGGGTGACAGCTGAGGGGACCCGCGAGACCAGGGGCTGGCACACGGGGCCACCAACGTGTCCTTTACAGCCCCGGTGCCCGCGGCAGAGCGGGGTTCGCTGCCCAGTGGGGTTCCCCTCGAGCAGGGGGTGCTGTGCGCTGTCCGTGCGGGGAGCGCTGCGTGCGGGCGGCTCGGGGGGCACGGAACGCGGTGCCCGGTGCAGGTCCCGGTGCCGG